GTTTTACCCTCTCCCACACCCCTGCTGCCCCTCATTATCATTTCAACCTTCTGGGGCACCTGAGGACATCTTTGAACTTTTTTCACAGCTTTTTCTTGGTGTCAAGTTCATTTCAGTAGGCTAATGGCTGTTACGTTGCTGGAGTGACCGACAACTTTATCGGAACACTCGGTAATGAGCTCTATTATGGTTTCAGAACAACTTTCCCACTTAGAGATTAGTTTGATTAGGGGCCCCACCGAGAAATGTGCAGAAAATTAGCGATATCATGTCATTCTGGCCGAGTGGTCTAAGGCGCTGCGTTCAGGTCGCAGTCCTCTCCGGAGGGCGCAGGTTCGAATCCTGCGGATGACATCGGTTCCATCCAGATGTGTATAAGAGACAGGTCTAAGGCGCTGCGTTCAGGTCGCAGTCCTCTCCGGAGGGCGCAGGTTCGAATCCTGCGGATGACATCGGTTCCATCCAGATGTGTATAAGAGACAGGTCTAAGGCGCTGCGTTCAGGTCGCAGTCCTCTCCGGAGGGCGCAGGTTCGAATCCTGCGGATGACATCGGTTCCATCCAGATGTGTATAAGAGACAGGTCTAAGGCGCTGCGTTCAGGTCGCAGTCCTCTCCGGAGGGCGCAGGTTCGAATCCTGCGGATGACATCGGTTCCATCCAGATGTGTATAAGAGACAGGTCTAAGGCGCTGCGTTCAGGTCGCAGTCCTCTCCGGAGGGCGCAGGTTCGAATCCTGCGGATGACATCGGTTCCATCCAGATGTGTATAAGAGACAGGTCTAAGGCGCTGCGTTCAGGTCGCAGTCCTCTCCGGAGGGCGCAGGTTCGAATCCTGCGGATGACATCGGTTCCATCCAGATGTGTATAAGAGACAGGTCTAAGGCGCTGCGTTCAGGTCGCAGTCCTCTCCGGAGGGCGCAGGTTCGAATCCTGCGGATGACATCGGTTCCATCCAGATGTGTATAAGAGACAGGTCTAAGGCGCTGCGTTCAGGTCGCAGTCCTCTCCGGAGGGCGCAGGTTCGAATCCTGCGGATGACATCGGTTCCATCCAGATGTGTATAAGAGACAGGTCTAAGGCGCTGCGTTCAGGTCGCAGTCCTCTCCGGAGGGCGCAGGTTCGAATCCTGCGGATGACATCGGTTCCATCCAGATGTGTATAAGAGACAGGTCTAAGGCGCTGCGTTCAGGTCGCAGTCCTCTCCGGAGGGCGCAGGTTCGAATCCTGCGGATGACATCGGTTCCATCCAGATGTGTATAAGAGACAGGTCTAAGGCGCTGCGTTCAGGTCGCAGTCCTCTCCGGAGGGCGCAGGTTCGAATCCTGCGGATGACATCGGTTCCATCCAGATGTGTATAAGAGACAGGTCTAAGGCGCTGCGTTCAGGTCGCAGTCCTCTCCGGAGGGCGCAGGTTCGAATCCTGCGGATGACATCGGTTCCATCCAGATGTGTATAAGAGACAGGTCTAAGGCGCTGCGTTCAGGTCGCAGTCCTCTCCGGAGGG